GCGCTTGTCTCCGCTGCAAGGTGTGGCATACGCGTAGTCTGAAGGTTTAGGGACTAGGATGTAACCCTAAACCGAAGGCTTAGGGGTTTGGGATTGAGGGTGGGATGCTAGGACGCATTCAGCAATTTCGATGCAGATTTGGATGCCATACCCTCCCCCAAACCGGCATGGGACTACTTCTGCGCTCCTCAATTGGACTTTTTTTCTAGCATCTCTTGCAGCTCCATCTTAATTTTCAAGGGTTTCAGACTTGTACCCCCAGGGTTGTACCCATAGGTTTCGGGATCCGAAATATTAGGGAAACCATTAAGGCTTCCGACCTTAGGGGTACAACCTAGAACCCTTGACATTTGGCAAGTGTGTTTCATTCCAGCATAACGACTCTGAATACTATATCGAAACTAGTGCTCGCGGAATCATTCTTGCCACAGTGACAAGATTCATTGCTGCCACTCGAACTTGATTGTTACTGGCATTTCTCCGCAAGAAGACATGAAAACAATCAAACTGCTACTGATGCCGCATATCTTTGCCATTGTGCTTCTTATAGGGTAGATACCTCAAACTCGCAATCCCAAGCTCTAAGCTTTAAATCCCCAACCCGTAAACGCTAAACCCTAAACCCTAAACCCATATGTAGTCCAGACCCTAAGCCCTAAAGCCGAAATCCTAAACCCTAAACTCCGGACCCCGAATGCCAGGTGCTGTTGGCCCACTACTCCAAAACGACACAGGATAGGCCGAAGGTCGAGGACTGCTGCGTATCATTCAGGTCGGAAGTTGAGGGTTTAGGTCTTTAGGGTTTGGGGAATTGGCTTTAGGGTTGGGGTGTAGGGTTTTAGGGTTGGGGGTTTAGGGTTTAGTGTAGTGGATTAAAGAGTAAGCTTTAAAGGGACAATCTTCAGGGTACTAAGGCAGATTCCTGGTCTCCGAAAGGACTCCCTGGGAAGGGGATCCTATCTTGTTCCCTGCCACAGTATTTATCCCTGGCTCATATTTTAGGGATTAGGTTTTTAGCGCTTCATATTTACGGTTTAGGCCTGAGGGATGTTACCCCAGTCATAGAGAATCAGTTGGAAAAGAATTTGAAAATGACATAGGAATCGGGATTACATAGGGCTGCAGAGGATTTTTCTTACATTGTTAGGGTAGCATAAGCCTAAACCCTAAACCCATTTCTCAAACATGCCAGATTAGGATCGGATCTCTAAAGCTCTGAGCACGGTTCGGATGCCACATTATATGTCTTTTCATATCCATGCGCGCAGCAATCCACGTGCCACTGTTTTCAAGGCCAGGTATCAGTCTGTAGGAAGAATACCCGCCACTGACGGAGCACTACATCTCACAGCCCTAGAACCTACCACCCCAATCCCTTAAACCCTACAACCAAAAACACAAAAGTCTAGAACCCTGACACCTAGAATCGCAAAATCCCGCATCAACGAAGAATCCCAGATATCCCCCACATACTTTTGAATCCCCTGTATACGGTAGATGGGGAAATATTGCAACACCTAGGGCCCCTAAATTTTTGTAATTTCTAGGAGTTGACGCAAGATTTCCTCCTCAACAGATCTCGAGCCTGAAAACCCAGAACCTCAATCCCCCCCCAGGCCAAACCGCTAGATATCCCCCATATTCCGAATATCACGTTTGTATACTTGCTAGACTTTTGGATGCAGAAATGGGTTCCTGGAACAGAACGCGTCGGAATACGGGC